ACTTTTTGAGCAATCTTGTATTATGAAATATTTTGTTTACTTAATCAACATATAATAGATTCAGAGACCCAGTGAAAGAATTCCATGAGATAGCCCATGTGTCCCTCACTTTACCCTATGGAGTTCTTGACAGAAATTGTAATTGTTTGGAATAAGGAAAATCCCAAAAGGCTTGGGCTTAGATTTCATAAAACATAGATACTGGCAGAGTTATGTGGTTATTGAACCCACAAGCCTCAGTTTCTTCATCTGTAAAGCGAATGTGGCTAATAGAGCCCTAAGGGGTTTGATGGAAAAATTAAATGATGTCATTTATGCTCAGTGCTTGACCTGAAGTAGACAATCAATGTTGGTTTTCTTTCTTGCTTAAAAGAATTGATGAAATGACTCTTTAAAATAAGAGTCCCTGGAGAAGCCGAGGTTTTGAAGCCATTCCCCAGGATTCAGTTTGCCAGTCCATCCAGGGAGTCCCTGCTCTCTGGGAGAGAGTTTGGAGGTCTCTGCATTTGGCACTGTGCTTTCACCACAGCTGCCAGTTGACCAGCGGTATCTAGCCACAGCAGTTGTGGTAAATAAGGCTCAGAACTCGAGTGGGCTCCCACAGGTTACTGGTTTCTGACACTGCTGTTCTTGGCAAAAAGGATCTCAGCACTCAAGAAGTGGCACGGAATAGACGACCACCCTGTCCCCTTTTCCTCAAGAAAGAACACAAGGCACATCACTCCTGATGAGAGTGTTTCTGTTCCGAGTGCTCGCAAGCCAAGCCCGCAGATGCAGCGAGGTGATTACCTCCACTTGCAACACTCTTTTTTGTGTCTTGTCAGGATATAGCAGAAGGAAGTGTGTGTTTCTCTCTTCTGCAACTATTATCCGATTTGACACTGAAAATACTCAGGCTCAAGGTCTAATTTGAATATCTGTGGTATAAAATTACCAGTGTTCACATCGCCTAGCATTTTCATGACAAATTAATTGCCAACACAATTCCCAGCAGAGGGTGTGTGTTGAGCACGGCAGGGTTGAGGGTTCAGCTCAGAGGAGGTAATTATGGGTGCCCTTGGCCAGGAAAGAGCAGAGATGATGCTAAAGGAGCCAGTGTTTGGGAGTAAGCAGCACCTGCTCCTTTGCCTGCTCTGTAGACGCATGGATCTAGAAAACACATATAATTTGGAGTGTCTGCCTTTGGTACATCTAATTTAATCTCTTGATCATTGTGCGATCTGTGAGAGCTGAAGCCACACTGTGTGTCACCCATGTTTGATTCTTAGATCTCTGCTTTGTTTATTCAACAATCCAAATATTCAAGGCATCAGGTTAAAGAAAGCAAACAGTAAATCCTGTAAGGCAGAGGGTACAAGGGCTGAAAGAAGCTGCTTCCTTTTAGCTGGGTCTGATGGAAGGGGTACTTTAGTTGATATTTCTGGAAGTAATTGGTCACCTCTGAAAGAGGCAGAAAAACTATTGGGATGAAGTATCTGACTTATAAAGAAGTAGTCTTGGGGTGCAGTGGGACAAGACACAACTTGGGATGCCCTCAGCCCGTGTTGGATTGCTAGTTCAAGTCCTGGCTACTCCACTTCCAATCCAGTTGCCTACTAACATGCCTGGAAGGCAGCATATGATGGCCCAGGTACTTGGGCTCCTTCTTTTTAGAGATATTTACTTATTTATTTGAAAACCAGTGTGAAAGAGGGAGAAAAAGAGAGAGAAAGATATCTTTCATCGGCTGCTTCACTCACCAAATGGCCACAATAGCCTGGGTAGAGGCAGATTGAAGCTAGGAGCCAGAAACTCCATCCAGATTTCCCTTGTGGGTGGTAGGAACCCAAGTATTTGGGCCATATTTGTTGCAAATCAGCAGGGAGCTAGATCAGAACAGGGGTGGCCAGGACTCAAACCAGTAGTCCAACATAAGCTGTGGGCCTCCCAAGCAGTGGCTTAACCCACTGTGCCACAATGCTGGCTTCTCTGCTCATTTCTGCCATTGAAAAAGTGTTTCTCTGAAGTAGGCATCCTTAGATAAGACACATACCTTCCTTTTTCAGACTAGGTCTCTCACAGCAGTTGTATCCTTTTGGCATCTGAAGTATTGCTGTTGAAGTTGTTTCAGTGTTCACTGCATTTAAGTGTAAAAGAGTAACAATGCTAAAAACCAGCAGACAAATAAAATCCAATAAAAATCCCAAGCTGGGGTGAGGGAGGAGTGGAGCCATAGGTGGTGAAGACACAATAGACTTATGCAAACCCCAAACATCCTCCTCAAAATTCTTCAAGTTTTTTCAAATATTAACACCTTCATAGATTTCTTTTTATTTCAAAGATATTTTTGGAAATAAAGGCTTATAGCATTATTTTGTGACAAAACAAAAAACATAGAGAAGTGCATACATTTGATTCTATCTTAATCTCCAGTTTTCCTGTGATGTCAGTTGCTTTCAAAAATATTAAAGATCCAGTGAGGATGAGATAATATTTCTGGCATGCTAGTTCCTGGAATAATGGGATTGGAGAATGGGAAGGGAATGCTCCTTGCTGGCCAAGGTTAATGTAGGTCCATCCTATCTTCTCAATGAATTTGGACCTCAGCACCCAAGTATTTCAGCTACAAGGCTCCTGTCATGTTTCCGGAGTGACAAGTCTACCTTCTTGGAATGCTCATCAGGATAATGGATCTCAGCTGGAAAATGCCTGTATTGGGTGGGACCATTTGCATCAACTCTTTCATTTAACAGATGAACTGACTGAGGCCCATTGACTGACAAGGGACTTACCAAGGAATATCTAGTAAGTTACTAATAGAATCAGGCTAGAGCCGGCGCCGAAGCTCACTAGGCTAATCCTCCGCCTTGCGGCGCTGGCACACCGGTTCTAGTCCCGGTCGGGGCACCGGATTCTCTCCAGGTTGCCCCTCTTCCAGGCCAGCTCTCTGCTGTGGCCCTGGAGTGCAGTGGCGGATGGCCCAGATCCTTGGGCCCTGCACCCCATGGGAGACCAGGAGAAGCACCTGGCTCCTGCCATGGGATTGGCGCGGTGCACCGGCTGCAGCGCGCTGGCCGCAGTGGCCATTGGAGGGTGAACCAACGGCAAAAGGAATACCTTTCTCTCTGTCTCTCTCTCTCTCACTGTCCACTCTGCCTGTCAAAAAAAAAAAAAAAAGATTAAAAAAAAAAAAGAATCAGGCTAGACCCTAGGTTTGATTGTTTCTAAAGAGCAATAAGCAAACACCATAGAAGCAATCAACTACTATACATGGGTGTGGGCCTTGAGTTCCTAATTTGCACTCTACAGAACTCACAGTTTTATGATGATATTTGATATGAATGCCAAGGTTGGAGAAATCAGATGAACTTAAGGAAAAGGAGGAAAAGAGAATGGACATTTGTTGAGCACCTACCATTGCAAAAATGACTTTGTAGTGCATGTGGTTTTCACATCTCCCAGTGAAGTGGATCTTACTCAGTTTTTAAGTGTGAAAATCATGGGTCAGAGAAATTGAGAAATTTGCTAAAGATCTTATAAATGTTAGCATGGAAGTTTTACCAGAAATACCTGATTCAAAGCCCGTATATAATCTTTCCACTCACTCACTATTTCTTGTTTCATCTCATTCCAGTATTATTTTTGTTACCCTCTCTAACACGGAGAAAACCACAAAGCAGAGTTAGACAATCAGCCATGTCATTTTCCAGGCCTTTCTATGTGTATACCAAGTATGCAGCTTTGTGTTGGCTGTGTGCAATGCCAGAGGAATGTGAGACCTCTGTAACTGAGAAAGGATCTGTAGTTGTAAGGGCATCAGACAAGTGGGGTTTTCTACTGCAATTAGTAGGCAATTAATTTGCCCAAGGTGTACAAGACGCTGTATCCCTGCTACTCAAAGTAGACTGCATGGATAGTTGCATCAGTGTCATTTAGGAGGTAATGAGAAATGTACTCTCCAGCCCCATCCCAGAGCTCCTGAAGCTGACTGCATTTTAACAAGGCCCCTCAGTGGTTCATCTTCATATTTACATTTGAGAAGCATGGCCCACAACTTCCTTGACTTCTCCTTAACCTGATGTGTGATTCCTGCCTCAGTGGCCTGTGCCCTTGCTATTCCCTTGGTCTGAACGTTCGGTCCCCGACTTTCATGGCTTCATTTCGTCATTCAGATTCCCACTCAAGCACGAATGTCCCAGATGCTACGTGCTGACTTCCAAGGAACTACATTATCCTGTTATCGTTCCTCATAAATGCTCTGAAATTATTTCATCTATTTGTTTACATGTTAATTAACTGTCTCCTCTCACTAGAATGTTGAGCCCTGCAAGGCAGGATGGCTTTGTCTGATTCACTGTTTTATCCCCAGATCCTGGAACAATGCCTAGCTCAAGTTAGGCATTCAATAAGTATTTTGTGAATCAATAAATGGACGAGCAATGGAAAATGTTTGCTGCTATTGAAATATCGAAGTGATACTCAAAGCTAGTTACCTGCAGATGTGTTTGGTTAAGCAGCTCTCCCAATCACAATGACAATGAAAACTTTCTGCATGTTTGCTGGTTTCAGATCCACTTTTTTGAGGCTGAAATTTATGAATCAAGGAAGGGAATGTTGTGGTAGAAATATTTATTTTTAAACTTTTGCCAATTTCATATAAGCTGATTTTGTTAGGGTGACATTTGGATATTTTTGAATGATTTATTTGTTTATTTGAGATGGAGAGAGAGAACTCTCATCTGCTGGTTCACTCCCCAATTGCCTGCAATTGCATCCAGACAGAAATGCAACTACTTGAGCTGTCATTTCTGCCTTCCAGGGTTTGCATTAGCAGGAATCTGGAATCAGGATCCAGAGCCAAACACTGTGGTGTGGGACATGGGCATATTAACCGTTGTCTTTTAAAAATGATTTTGTTTACTTATTTGAAAGGCAGAGTCACACACACACACACACACACACACACACACACACACAGAGAGAGAGAGAGCTCTTCCATCCACTAGTTCACTCCCCAAATGGCCACAAAGGCTGGGGCTGGGCTAGGTCAAAGCCAGGAGCCAAGAGTCTCTTCCAAGTCTCCAATCTCTGCTGCTTTCTCAGGCACACCAGCAGGAAACTGAAACAGAAGTGGAGCAGCCAGAACAGTAACTGGCACCTACATGGGATGCTGACACTGCGAGCAGTGGCCTAATCCCCTGTGCCACATCACTGGCCCCTAACTGGTTGTCTTAACCACTAGGCCAAATGCCTGTTTGGAGATTTTTTTACTTACCTGCATAAGTAAGTTTTTCTTTTAATATCTTTTAAACAAATCCCACAAGAAATGCAGATGTATACCCTCAGTACAATCAAATATATGATTGGAAATCTTTCCTTTTTATTTATAGATACCCGCAGTGAAGTGGTTTAGTTCTTGGGTGAAAACATCAGTTTGGAGAGGGTTCATGCATACTTTACGAGCTGACTCTGCAATAACTCTGCGGATCTTCCTGGAACAAACAGCAAAGGCAACCTCTCTGAATTCTGATGAGACATCCTTGGAAGAACCTCCACATCGTCAGTGTATGAAGGCTCTATAAAAAAGAAATGGGAAATAAAAATGATTTTATATTTAATATATACCTCGTAACTTAGAAAACAAAATCTCATTTCATTTTATTTATTTATTTATTTATTTAATTTACTTGAAAGTGTGACAGAAAGAGAAGGAGAGAGAGAGAGACAGAGACAGAGAGACTGAGAAAGCGCTCCATGAGCCACTGATTCACTGACCAAATGGCTGCAACAGCTGGGGCTGGACTAGGCTGAAGCCAGGAGCCAGGAACTCCAACCAGATCTCCCATGTTGGTGGCGGGGGCCTAGTGCTTGGGCCATCTTCTATTGTTTACCCAGGCCATTAGTGGGGAGTTGCATTGGAAGCTGAGCAGCCAGGACTCGAACCACTGCTCCTACAGGATGCTGGAGTCATAGGCAGCATTTACCCTGCTGTGCCACAATGCTAGGTCCAAGATCTCATTTTAAATACCCTAACAGCTTTCTGAGGTAATACTACCCCATTGTGCAGAACAAGAAATGAGGTTCAGAGATTAAGGTTCATTCAAAATCAAGCCTCTAGTACATGGCAGAGCTGAGCTCCAAACCTGTGTTCAATTCCTAGTCACACTTCAGCCTCCACCATCCACTGTCCCTGGTAGAACAAATCCATTGCTGCCCTTTGATAGAAAAAGTTCTTTCTTTCGTGAGTCACATTTGCTTCTGACTTTGGAAGAGCTCCCTAGAGACTACAGCATCATAAAGGATTCATGAGGAAAACAGAAAGGATGGCGTGATCTTCAGTCCCATATGGGTGGAAGATGCTTAGCTCTGGGGGCAGGAATGCAGAAATGGAACATTTTGTTTACCTTAGGACAGTGGTGTTTTAAATCATGGGGGTGCCACTGGAATACAACGTAGTATGAATTGGGAAGATCAGCCCTGGTGGTCTCATATACACACATGGGTATCATCATATCAGCAACTGTCAAAGAGAGGACCCAGCGCAGACTGAGAACTCATTACCCTGGTTCATCAACAGAGGAGAGAGAAAAGGATTGTGAGGACAGTCTGATGTTCCCTGAGATGCTTGAACTTTCTTTCCAGCCACTGAAGGCAGTGAAAGAGGAGAAAGACTGCTTGAACTGCACTCTCTTCTCTCGTTGGATCCCACCCCTATGCCCTCTCCTGCTCATGTAGATCTTCTGTGGGCTTTTGTTTCCCGAGTGGCCTCAGTTGCAGCTCTTTCTCCTGGAAATTGAACCCCTAACTATCTCAGCACCTCTGGGAAGGACTTCCAGGTCAATCCAAAAAGAAACATTGCACAAGTGAGTCCCGCATTTCATCACTGAATGTGTTGAAATTTCCCCAGAGGCAGTGTGGGTAATGCCCACTAAATGGTGGTCACAAGCCACTTTCTGGAAAAGGTGTTCCTTGAGCTTTGACATGAAGCAGGACTTCAAAAAGGCTGGGGCTTTGTAAAAGATATATTTTGCTCATCTCCTGATTCATCACTCATTTTTTGAGAAATCAGAATTCAAAAGGCAGGAGAGAAAGTTGCTTTCCTCCAGGCTATAATGCGATTTTCTTTAGTTTGTAACATTTTTGTTAACTCTGGTATCTTCAGAGGAGGGAAAAACCCAAACAACTAGAGAATGACTCTTCTTCCTCTCTTCCCATCTTGCTTTCCTTCCCTCTTAGAAGGAACACATTGTTCCCCAAAGGTTTCCACCTGGAGGGCATTTGCTTATAACTCAAATCCCCTTTCTCCCTGTTTTCCAGAAATGGTGGGGAAGTAACCACTGATGCCTTCTCAATCCTCGATGTTCTTGAGGTTCAGAGTCTCAGTATTATCCCGGGCATCATGTGTGTTATCGTTGCTATGGAGAATGGATTCTGAATTCTCCTCCCCTCAGTGGAGCTTGCAGGGGGGAATGAGATTTTCTTGGCAGTGGGAACTCACCAGTTTCTTAACCCTATCATCTGTGGGCAAATGTACAGTTACCTTTCCAAGAGCAGGCCTTAGCTAGCTCTCTATCCAGGGCTTTGGGAGTCCCCTGATTTCAAACCAGGAAATGTTTGCCCTCACACCCGTCTCCAGTCTTGTCTGTATCATCTGTTACTAATGGATGAATCCTATCTTTGGCAAGGGGAGTGACACAATAAATGGTAGTGCCTTAATCAAAAGTTTATCATTTGTAAAGTATATATGTGGGGTAGAAAAGGGCTAAGCAGTTCCAGGGGTTTCAGAATCAGAGGAAAGCTATGGTAGTGTGTAATCACTAGAGATGTTGCAGAACCCATGCATCATTTTTATCATCAGTGGATGTGATACACCATTCTTTCCATATAGAGACCCTGTCTGGTCTAAGCTTAAGTTGATTCTGTCTTCCATGACATGAGGATCCAATCTGTTCTCAGTACAAAACCTCTATTCTTGGTTCTTTGTTAAGTTTCAGAGGGACAGAAGCATTAAGTGGTAAGTGCATAGCAGACAACAGGGCCTGTTAATCAAAGCTATTGCCAGATGCACAAGAGCCATCGGCTCCCAGAAACTTTTCTGTTTAGAACTTTCATTCATTTTTTAAAGGATTTATTTTTATTTATTTGAAAGGCAGAGAGACAGAGGCAGAGAAGATAGAGAAGTCTTCCATCCACTGGTTCACTCCACAAATGGCCGCAATGGCCAGAGCTGGGCTGATACAAAGCCAGAAGCCAGGAGCTTCTTCTGAGTCTCCCACGCTGGTGCAGGGGCCCAAGGACTTGGGCCTTCTACTACTACTACTACTTCTTCTTTTTTTTTTTTTTTTTTTTTTTTTTTTTTTAAGGCAGAATAGACAGTGAGAGAGAGAGACAGAGAGAAAGGTCTTCCTTTTGCCATTGGTTCACCCTCCAATGGCCGGCGCGGCCGGCGCGCTGTGGCCGGCACACCGCGCTGATCCGATGGCAGAAGCCAGGTACTTATCCTGGTCTCCCATGGGGTGCAGGGCCCAAGCATCTGGGCCACCCTCCACTGCACTCCCTGGCCACAGCAGAGAGCTGGCCTGGAAGAGGGGCAACCGGGGCAGAATCCGGCGCCCTGACCGGGACTAGAACCCGGTGTGCCGGGCCGCAAGGTGGAGGATTAGCCTAGTGAGCCGCGGCGCCGGCCTGGGCCATCTTCTACTGCTTTCCCAGGCCACAGCAGAGAGCTGGATTGGAAGAGGAGCAGCTGGGACTCGAATCTGCACCCATATGGGATGCCAGCCTGCAGGTGGTGGCTTTACTTGCTACATCACAGCATCAGCCCCTCATTCTTTCTTATATTTGATAAATATTTACTGAACATAGTGTTCATGCCAAATATCTCTATAAGACATTGGCAGACTATGGTCCCTAGGCCAAATCCAGTAGGGCACCTGTTTTTGTAGGGGAACTTCTACTGGGACACAGCCATGCTCATGTGCTTTCTTACCCTCTGTGGCTGCATTCATACTACACTGGCAGAGTAGAGTAGTTGCAACAGAAAACATACGACCTTCAAAACCTTGAAGGTTGTGGACCTCAGTTTTCAATTATAGAAATACCTTGATCTATGGCTTTAATGAGTTAACATTTTTGGGAGAACTTACAGTACTGGAGAGAGAGATAATCAACAAGTGAACAAATAAAATGCATTGCTAAGTGCAATAGAGGAAGTAGGCAGGGCAGGGGAGGAAGAAGTTACTTGAGATTTTATGTTTACAGAGGCTTTTATGAGGGAGCTACATGGGAACAGATTTATCAGAGTGAGGGGATGTATGCAATGAAATCTGGGGAGAGTTTTGGAGCTGATGGAACAGCAAGAGCAAAGGCCTGATTCTGGGATTAGATTGGCATATTCAATATAGGGAGAAAAGATCTGTCTGTTTGAAATGGAAACAAGGAAGGAAAAGTGTTAGGAAACAAAATTGCACAGGCAGCAGCAGCTGGATCAATGGGCTTAATCTGCCATGATGCAGCATTTGGATCTGTTCTCCATGATTCAGCACTTGGATTCATTCTAAACATACTCAGAAACCTTTGGAAGACTTGAAGCACTGTGAGTACTTTTAAAGATGATTTGGGGTGGTAGAAGTGGGTTGGATGTAAGTAAGGGAGCAAGGGGACAGATAGGACAGATCCTAGGAGGGGCTGGCAGCAGTATGACGACAAGAAACAGGTTGTTCTGGGGTACCTTTAAAGTCAGGGCCAATGAGTTGGACATAGGGTATGAAGGAGAAAGAGAATCTTAAATTTGGAATTGAGCAATCAAGTGCAGGATGCTATAGCATTTCCTAACTAAAGAAGAACGAGGTGGAATGAATTCAGATAAGTGTATGGATGCAGAGTTCTGTTTTGGACAAATCAGATTTGAGGTTCCTGTTAGATATCCAAGTGGAGATGTCAAGTACGTGTGTGATTCCACACTTTTAATGCTTATGGGTGATCCCAGGATTAAGAATAGGAATTTTTTTAACTTTTATTTAATGAATATAAATTTCCAAAGTACAGCTTATGGATTACAATGGCTTCCCCCCTCCCCCATAACTTCCCTCCCACCCGCAACCCTCCCCTTTCCCTCTCCCTCCCCCCTTCCATTCACATCAAGATTCATTTTCAATTCTCTTTATATACAGAAGTATATATTAAGTAAAGCTTTCAACAGTTTGCACCCACACAGAAACACAAAGTGAAAAATACTGTTTGAGTACTAGTTATAGCATTAAATCACAATGTACAGCACATTAAGGACAGAGATCCTACATGAGAAGTAAGTGCACAGTGACTCCTGTTGTTGACTTAACAAATTGACACTCTTGTTTATGGCATCAGTAATCACCCTAGGCTCTTGTCATGAGTTGCCAAGGCTATGGAAGCCTTTTGAGTTCACCGACTCTGATCATATTTAGACAAGGTCATATTCAAAGTGGAAGTTCTCTCCTCCCTTCAGAGAAAGGTACCTCCTTCTTTGATGACCTGTTCTTTAAGAATAGGAATTTTGAAGTCTATGGCATACAGGCATTTTCATTGCCATGGGACTGGAAGAGAGCATATAGAGAAATAATACTGAAAGAAATGAGGAGAGAGATATCAACTATATAGGTAGGAACATGGCAAGGATAATCCTACAGAATGAGAAAAGTAAATTAGATCCTTACTCTAGTTCTTTCTCAGCACCTTACTGGACATGTAGTCTTGACTGGTCCTTTTTATATCTTTGGTCAACAATTCCCTGATTTCAAAAAATCTTAAAAATCTGTGAGTTTTAGCTTCGTATTTGGGTCGTGCTTGCTTCTCCAGTCATGTTTCTTATCAAATCGTGAATCACTTCTACTTGGGTGCATGAAGCTTCCTGATCTGCAAGTGCTCTCCCTTGAAACAATCTCTTAATTTCTTTGTATATCAGAGAACAGAAATATTGGGGATCAGATCCAGTGTTTGGAAAACCGTGCCTGATCTAGATGCAGATAAAATGACAGAGCACTTTGAGATGCTCCTAGCTTCCTGGCAACTTTTCCACACTGCACTGATAATGCTGAGCCAATGGTGCTGCTTGCTTTGTGGAGTCATCCGAATTGATGCTGTGGAGGATGACTATGTGTCCAGGGCAGGAGGAAACTCATCTGAGGTGTCAAAGAATTCAGAGCAGACATTCTAGGCCTTGGGTCCCTGAGTATGACTGGTGTATGGCTAGGAGGCTTGGACTTGAGCAGTCTCCAGTAATTCCTACCAGTTTGTTTGTTTGTTTCTTTCTTTCTTCTTTTTTTTTTTTTTTTTTTTTTTTGACAGGCAGAGTAGACAGTGAGAGAGAGACAGAGAGAAAGGTCTTCCTTTGCCATTGGTTCACCCTCCAATGGCTGCTGCGGCCAGCGTGCTGCGGCCAGCACACCGCGCTGATCCAATGGCAGGAGGCAGGTGCTTCTCCTGGTCTCCCATGGGGTGCAGGGCCCAAGCACTTGGGCCATCCTCCACTGCACTCCCAGGCCACAGCAGAGAGCTGGCCTAGAAGAGGGGCAACCGGGACAGAATCCAGCTCCCCAATCGGGAGTAGAACTCGGTGTGCCGGTGCCGCTAGGCTGAGGATTAGCCTGTTGAGCTGCAGCACCAGCCCCCTACCAGTGTTCTCAAAGGGGCCCAGACACGCTCATCCTAAAGCCAGTGGACCTATTCGCCCATTGCATCATCCAAAACCAGAGAATTGGATGTTGCTGGCCCCACGGATGCTCTTCACCTGAGCCAGTCTAGGAACATTTTTATCACACCGTCTGAGACTTTGTGACCAATGACTGCACTTGCAGAGTTACTTGGACAAGTTGCTCCCTTGCTTGTACTTACTTTCTTTTAGATCACCTATGTACAAATGTCTGTGTCAGTATTAGTGTCCCTTTTTTCCTGTGGAGTATGTCCCTGGGCTGTCTTTATCATGCTCTGTCCTGAATGACTATGCAGTGATGGGAAAGCATGAGATGCAGGAGCAGCCTTGGGGAGGGAAGACATCCCAGAGAGGGAGAGGAGATGCTAGAGCAAAAGAAGATTTACTTTTTTAAAAGATTTATTTATTTATTTGAAAAGTCAGAAAGGCAGAAAGAGAAAGAGAGACGGAGAGAGAGACAAAAGAGAGAGAGAGTTCTTCCATCCTCTGGTTCACTCCCTAGTTGGCCACAACAGCTGTAGCTGTGCCTATCTGAAGCCAGGAGCTTCTTCCAGGTCTCCCACATGGGTGCAGGGGACCAAGGACTTGGGCCATCTTCTACTGCTTTCCCAGGCCATAGCAGAGAGCTGGATTGGAAGTCGAGCAGCCATTACTCAAACCAGTGCCCAAATGAGATGCCGACACTGCAGGGCTTCACCCGCTACACCACAGCATC